ATTGTAATGTTTGGGATCTTCACGTTGGGATCGGCTCCGTGGGTGAGAAGTAACTCGATGAGGTCAGGATCACGTCCTTTGTACAGTATGAAGTCGCGATTCATAGAATCGGCGCTCTCGAAGTCAAAAAGCTCGCCGTGGGCAAAGGCAATGATGAGTGCGCGCGAGAGCGTCACAGTATCGTATCTTGGAGCTCCTTCCGCACTCAGTGTGTAGCGAATGTAGTCTGTGAGCTGACATTGAATCGCAAGGTGGAGGAAGGAAGTTCTGTGCGGATCAGGCGCTCCAAGGGAGACGTAGGAAATCTCATTAGAGTCGAGCGCCCTTGACACGGACCAATGCTCCACAGGAAACATGGACTCAGATGCACACTCGTCCAACCAGGTTTGTCCGTTTCGGTCCTTTAGATTTGCAAGATGAGTAGCGGCTCGTTCCAGTTCATCGAGAAGCTTTGGCTGATGGCCTTTCATGCATCCAGGGTCCGCCCGAGTTGCATATTTGATTGTATAGGAGACAATAGCCCAGAACTGTGCAACACTGGTATCATCTACAAAGATCTGTTGATCTCTGATCTTCAAGTTGATAATATACGCCGTACAGAGGCGTAAGTTAGGGTTGAATGTGTCGTCTGTGGCTGCGATGAGGTTCGCCCATATATCCTCGCGCTCAAAATAATCCTTGACCGTTCTGTGAAGGTATCCGACCTCTGTAAAAGCAATTTCACGACTCTTTTGTGACTTTGATTCTATGAGTCCCTTACAACAGGCATTTAGACCCCGGCGGAAGAATTCGGCTCGTGCATTTGCTTGTTCGACGGATATCTTGCCGAAAGGAAATGTTACCGAAAATTCAGGATTCGGTTCGTCAGCGTAGGAGAGGGTCAGAAGATCCACCGGTATCAAAGCCGCGCGAATGATTTGTATAAGCTCTGAGGCGCGTCCAAGATGCTTCCCTTGCAAGCGAGTCAGAATGCTCCAGAACAAACTTTCAAGATCAGTTGGCAAGGCTTCTAGGCGCGCGTGAAGTTGCTCCAGTCGCTCACCATCCGAGAGGCCTTCGAGTAGAGAGTCCGTGACCAACGAGACCCACAGAAAGACACCAGAAGCTTTTCTAATGATGCTTTTGATGAGCTCGTTGGTGTACTTCGGGTCCAATGCACGTAGCTGCGTGAAACCACGACTCTGTTGAAATCTTGAGCTTACAAATTGCTCAATATCATAGGATGTCAGATTTTCTAGCCTCAAATTTGGGAGTTGCTGAAACCCGTCCTCGAAAACGTTCCATGGTCTGCTCGAAGCGCACGTCTTGACATTCGACGACGATAGTTCTTTGATCATGGTAATCAACTTCCCGTGGTCGCCTTGACACTCGTCAAGGCCATCAATCAAAAAGAACAGTTTGTACTCTGCGCCGGCTCGCTGCGCTAGCAAGCGAAGAGCCTTTTTCAGTTCATCCCAGGTGATGGACCGTCGCCAGGCACGCCTGAACGTGAGGTATTCTTCCAATTTATGTGGAAAGATCAATGAGGATAGCTTTGGCTCTTGACGAAGCGTTTCGTAGAGGAGAGTCCGCGTCATACCCTCTTCCGACATCTGGATTGCAGTGCCCGAGTTCCAGAAGTAAAACGCAGTTGTGATTAACCTTTTCCCGTGTGCCCACTGCTGCAGATGTTGCTTGGTGCGCGGATCGCTGTGAATATACTTCATCAACGTGGATTTCCCGGCTGCTGGTTTTCCTGTAATCCAATATAGAGGATCTGCGTCACTCTTCAACCAGTTCGTGAAATCTGACCACTGGTCGTCTCGCGGTTCTCGGTAGATCCATTCAAACGTCTCCTGATGAGCTTGCTCAATCTTTTCGTATCGGTGGTCGAGCTCAGTAAAGCGTAGCCAACGGAGGAGACCTTCATTGAATTGCTGAATATCCTTGACTGTCATGTCTTTCTGCATGTCGATGGCTGGCAACAACCCTGTATCGGAATCTGGTCTTCGCCGTTCGTAATCGTCATGAATTGCTTGGGTTACTTCTTCTTGCCATAGCTTCTGCTGCGCGAATTGTCCAAAGAAGCCTTCCACCGTAGCCCGAGTCTGCTCAACCGTGCTTAGTAGACGCTCGTCCTTATTGGCTTGGCGCTTTTGAAGTCTCCGAATCTCGTCTCTGTCCGAAGTTAAGTAGCCGGAAGGATAAGAGAGGCACTCAAAACTTACCGTACGGAGATCATCATAAGCAGTGCGATTTGTTGGCGATAACTGTCCAAGGTTTGCCGCAACTTTTGCACTTCGTCATCACTCCAGACAATCTTCAGTGCATCCACAAAACTGGTCCAAACGTTCGTCTTGGAACTTCTCAATTGACTGAGCATATTCAACAGCTTTCTCGTAAGTTTTTCGCACTGTCCGCAGATTTCGAGGATCTCCTTATCAGCAACTGACAGATTGAACGATCCTGATTCTTGGTGTCTTAAAGAACTTTTCAAAGCCTTGTTGTAATCCTGGAGGCTGGACGTGAGCTTTTCAAGTGTCAGATGTTCGCTGTTCTCATCTTGTGTCCCTTGCGCGCGATAGATCTTCACCGCTTGTGAGACAATCTTGCTCGCGAAGTCAACGAATTGTACAACGTTTGCGGCCAACCCAAGGGCAGTCAGGGCCTCCATGATGCAAGGAAAGTCGTCTCAGATAGCCTCGAAAAGGCGGTTTCCGAGGTTTGAAGTCTGGAGTCGGCGAGGCTACTCTGGGCCTTGGCAGCTGAGATCCTGCGACATAGTCACGTGGTAGTTCGGTAAAAGCCCAGACGACAAAATCGACAAAATCAAGCCAAATGTGTAGGAACACCAAAACAGCATCTCTACGCAGAAGAAGAAGAATAAGGACAGCTCTATCCTAGGTAGGACCATAGGTTTGAGAGCTCGCAGTAGCCCAACCGGGTCAGTATGCGGTGTTGCCTGGAGAGCCATGATTTTCAGGAGTCGTTACCAACTTTCGTTGGTGACGGAGTGCATCTCTACATAGAGAGGGATAACACGGCAACATCACAGAAATAAACTACAAATTCTATATAGGAAAATATCCCTTACACATTCAGATAATCCTGTGCAATAATAAAAAGGTGTAAAGATCTTGTAAAGAGTTCCCCCGCTTTACAAACAGGATAATGAAGCTCATTGAACAAAGAGTCCCTTAGGCGCACTAGTAAGACTACGCGAAAGGGGACAGTGCTGGATAAACGTAGATAGCGATGCATTAGTATGTCTTTAATTTAAAATAAGAGAGCGTAAATTCCTCGTCCAGCACGTTAAACCTATGAGCATACTTCATTTACACAAAGTTTGTTACTTAAAAGACAGAATAGTATATCTAGCAGGGTTCAATACAATAAATTAAACACCTAGTTGTAAATAAACAGACATCAAGGACGAAGTTATTTATCAAGGGTAATAAGTGAGAACAAGCCTTAAAAGACATTAAAAATAGTACCAGCCTAAATCTATTATGCTCGAAGAATCCCGATTTATCTCCTTAGGATGCTGAATGAAAGACCTTATATTTCTGGTTCTTGATTTTGGATTGATTGAAATATAGACAAATAGCATTGATCTAGATGGTAAACACATCGCTGGGGTGTCTCAAATGAAGAAGGCACTCGAATAGGTTTGTTGTGACCTCGAATTCTTCGCCATGGACTTTAACGGATCTTGTAATATTCAGGTTTCCCCAAACGTATGACAAGTATAGAAATATTGTTGTCGGGTCGTCCAGATTCACAATGCGAAGCTCGACGCAGGGCTGTTCCAATTCGGCGCTGGGAAGCAAATCTAGAACTCGGCAGTATCGCTTGGTAGAGTCACGAGACAATAGGTTGTAAAGAGTCTGATAACAGTATGGCATCGTAACTTTCGATGATAGATATCTTTTGCTGGAGCAAATTGCTAAGACAAATCATCTGCAGCTCCAAAATACTGTATGAAAAAGGAAAAGAGCTTTCATTGTACCAGAAAATTAGCACCATAACCTAAGTCGTTACCCTAGCTTAAGTAGGCTACTAGGCTATTCTTTCGCTGTAGTCTCCTTCACATGCCACGAGGCTTGCGAGTAAGCGGGTCTGTGGATACATAGAACCTCAGCCGAGCTGAATAGTGTGTAGAATTGGCGTGACGTGCAAGTTTTAGGCTGCAGTACCAGACGTAAGGCTGTGAAAGCGCCTGCATAAATACGCGGAACACTAGGGAAACGTGACAAGAACGAGGCTATCCTTTTTCACGTCGAATATAGTCTAGCTAGAAGGTGAGAGATACCCGAAATATGCTATAGCATTGCCCAGAAAACCATTAAAAACACTAACACTAACACTAAATATCTAAGCTATAAATCTAGATATATAGTAAACGGATGGAAGATAACGGTGCTGTTTAGGTGGGAGAGATTTGGTGTTTGATTGGACAGACTGATATGCCTACCTATTTTGAGGCGCATGTTCAGCCTTGCTGCAACCGGTGAGAAAATCAGACGTTGACCGGTGACGCATTAGATCATGATCAATCAAAAACGTAAATCGAAATCGGCGAGAAGACCGGATTGGAATTCCCTAGAAGACTGGATTATTTGGCGAGGTGATGCTGGGTTCAGTGCGACGAGTGCTACAACGGATGGTTGCTAAAGAATTTGCTGTTCAAGAAAATGGCGGACTCAAACGGAACTTTGGCATGAATTAATGTCTGATCCAGAGTGATAAAAATGCATAATAATACTTCGTAGAACACTTTAGCAGACGCAGAAGTGAATGTCGGCGAGTCATCGTGAGGTCTCGGCCCGTTAACCCTTGTCTTGTGATGTTCCGGCCCCGCTTAACGCCATTCCTTCACATTAGACCCACTTGTTTATGACATTCCTTTAGATTAGCTTTCAGCGCCCTGCCATTGAATCTCCGCTATCGCTTGCAGGTGCTTTGACATAATGCTGTATATATATTAAATTAATTCATATTTAATCCATCAATTGAACCAAGGTCTTATGGTCTAGTGGTATGATTCTCGCTTAGGGTTTAACTAAGCACATATGCGAGAGGCCCCGCGTTCGAATCGCGGTAAGACCCTTATAACACAATTCTTTTTTTTGGCGATTTTTGAACCTGGAGATCCTTGCCCCCTTTACTTGTCCTAAGTTTTTATCCACTTCAATTTACGTCTAAGGCGGGTTAAGCGCACTACTATGTTATTCCCGCGATTTATGCACAGCTGTTCTGCTGGATTTGTTTCGTCTAATGTTTTCTCTTCAAGAAAATTATGTATTGCATTGCCGGATTTCTAAAAAATACCTTGCAAGTCTAAAAATAAAACCACTAGTAGCTAAAGAAGCTTAAGAGACGCGTGTGTATACGTTGAATAAGCGTTGTAAGCCTCTCATAATAATCGTTTAAATTTTCTGTGCCGTTTCTCCGAACTGCGATGATTTTCTGTCCCATTTTCAGCGCCGTCGCAGTTACGTGAGTAGAATCTCACGTCATCGACATCGATCGGCACGAAGAATCGAGCATCCGAGAGGGTTAATTCATCTTCCTTTCCTCTCATCACTTATCGAAGTGCTAGGTAAGCAGTTTGATCTTACGTTATACGTGCAGAGCACGCTACGAAGAAGCTTGTAGTTTTAAACAATAATTCCCACCAACTAAAATTGCCTACAAGATATTCCTCAATAAAGACTAGCTCCTTCGTATCACTCGGAGAGTTGACGTTTCAAGCCTTTTTAAGAATAGGCATCAACGTTTGCTTTATGAATGACACAGCACCTAAACACGAGCTTAATTTCAGCTACATGTAAGACATCAGCTTCAGGGGGTGAATTATAATTTTCAAGGTGCATTGTTTCATTCTCTCCCCTATGGAATTCAAGGATGCGGTACGTAACCTGTTCATTCGAAAATAGACATAAACGACAAGACATAATTGCTACGCTTTGTTCCAAATGTCACTTCTTCTAAAAATAAGATGAATAAGAAGAAGAAAGGTGTACTTTTTTCTTCTTGAATTTGACTTTCTCGATTCACTACATCGTATGTCGCAAGGGACTTGACAACCTTCTTGACTAGAGCAATAGCGTAGCGGGAAAATTGTGAAGATTTTTCAAGATAGGAATGTCAAATCCGTTCACGGCGTGACAAAGGAAGCGTGTCAGTTACGAATCTAACCATTAATCAGTGCTTTCACAACATTTAGAATATCTTTTCCAAATATTGAGTGTTACGTAGACTACACACCGAATAGAGGAAGGTCCGATGTAGGTAAATCAACGGAACTTAGTAGAACTGCGTTGTTCTCCACCCGCATATGCTAACTAAAGAGTGCTGAAAAATGGTAGTATGGACACGGAGTACTAGCTGGCATCGAAGGCGAGTCCTCTTCCGATAAGAAGCAACAACATGGTTACGGAGCACCGGCTGATTTTAAAGACGAGGCGAAGAAGTAAGCCGTTGTGTATATAAAGAGAATCCCTTTGAATACAGCCGATTAATGACATAGCGTAGATTACTGAAGCATAGGACTGCAGATACTAGGAGCTACCAGGAGGAGCCATTGAAGTTTATCTATATGGAAATGGATATTGTAGCGATATGTATCTAGAGCCGTCAATCCCTCTCATGTATATATTTACGAACGTTCATTAGGACATACAAAAGTCCGCGTGGCGGTCCTTTCAAGCTTCCGTTAGTCTTGATGCTGAAAACCCTGACATGATATCGCTGTCTTCTCAACCCGTCTCTATACGAAATTTCGTTCTCATCACAATCACTACGTAGTTATATCTGTTTCCTCGATCACCAATCTGGAGGTTGCTTAGTATAGAGTTGCGTTGTCAATAGCTTCTTTATTTAGCGCTAGAGAGGGAGTGATATTTCAATTAGTGAACAAAGTAGCCGGCTTGTTCAATTCGAATTAATACGATATAGATGAATGACAGGTGCGAGGAGTTCACATTCTGGAGTTAGACTGGAAACCCAGATACGCTAATGCGTTTCTAAATTAGCGTGGTCGCAAGGGCTAATTAACGTCCTGACTTGCTGCATCAACATTTTCACGAAGATCTCACGCTCCTCGCAACAACCACACGCGACCTCAAAACACCACGTACCCACCCTCAGGCTACATGCAAACCAAAATGGCCAAGCGGAAAAGGGGCCTTCATGAGGAGGTGCGCGATTACAGTGTTGGCGAGACCCTGGCGCGACTGAAGGACGAAGCTGCAGAAACCAACCCAACCCCGACACCTGCTGCTGATGATGACGGCAGCGAGTGGACAACAATCGGGGCGCCCAAGAAGAAGAGGAGGTCGCAGGACCTGGAGGACAGACCAGAACGTTCCCCTGCACACGACTCGAATCGTTTACGTCGCCACTCCGACACCCATTCCTTAGAATCCCAGTTCGAACAGAAGGAAAAGGTCAGCGACAAGCCCAAGGACACACCCACTGATGGATCGCCTCCCTCTATGAACCCATTCGTTGCGCAAGGAAACGATCCTAGCGCGCGCCCGGCCAATCCGTTTGCTAAGAAGAAAAAAGATGGCGAGGTGGATGAGAGGATACACCGGGTCGCTGACGCTTCTCCTTCCGCTCAGCATGAGCCCACCAAGGAACAACCAGAGAGAGAAGAGCGTAGAAAGGAGCGCAAAGTCGCCCGAAATTACCCAGCCATTGAGCATTCACATCACGCTCGTCAGCAATCGAAATTGAAGATCACCGACTTACAATCATTAGTATTGTACTTACTTGCAGATGGCAACGCGCCCCAATGGGTGTCTGTGCGGCATCGCATGAATATCCGCCAGGTTGTTGTGCTTATGGTCCCTGGGCTGGAACTGGGCATGTTCAATGGCGATGTGTCCCTAGAATCTTCATCCTCTAAGCCTGCACAGAACGAAGATGCTGGGAAGACAGCTGATGATGTTCCCGATCATACCCGCCCGAAACGCTTGCACATCTCACCAGATGATTATTATCCCGCCAGTCTGAAACCACACCAGCTACCTACATCTCTAAAGCCTCTTGCGGACATATTTCCTCACGTTTGGCCCATGAGTGGCAGTGGTGAACATCGCAATAATCAGTATCATAGAGTACATTCACCAATCCATACGATGCTAACCTCGCAAATACCAAAGACGAAAGAAGAGAAGCAAATGAAGAACTCCAATCACAAAGGCCCGCTCCCTCAGAACACAAGGGACTGGGAGAACAAGCGCACGCCTGTTACTGAGTATATTGCGAGTGTCACCGAGCAGCGAGAAAATGAATACGTACTTCATCCAGCTTGGTTTGCAACACCAGAGGCAAAAGAGGCAGCCTACCAGAGCAGGAGGCTAGCCAAACAAAGCGCAGACGATGGGTGGGTGGACACCAACATCGCGTGCCTCGAAGAAGGAGATGTACCGGACGCAGAAATTGAGCAGGGGAGTATCACGGTTGGGAGGCGGATTCTGACGGTGGATTGTGAGATGTGCAAGTCGGTGGACGATGAGCATGTGCTCACGCGAGTCAGCCTCATTGACTGGGACGGTAGCGTGGTCCTTGACAGACTGGTAAAACCCGAGGCGGGCATCAAGGACTACCTCACACAGTACGCGTGCAATTTAAACGTTATTATACATTTGGCTAACCTGTACTAGATGGTCTGGTATCACAGAGGCCATGCTACAAGATGTCACGACCACTCTCGCGGATATTCAGAAAGAGTTATTAGAACTTCTAACTGGGCGCACGATCCTTGTCGGGCACTCACTCAACTCGGATCTCAATGCGCTCAAACTCACGCACCCATTCTTTATAGATACGGCCATCATCTATCCGCATGCACGAGGGCCACCGTACAAGCAGTCTCTGAAATGGCTAGCACAGAAATACCTTTCGTCGGAGATCCAAAAGGGAGCCAAAGGGCACAACAGCGTCGAGGATGCTCGTGCATGTCTTGACTTGCTCAAGCAGAAATGCGAGCGCGGCCCGCGATGGGGATCCAGCGAAACGAATGCAGAATCTCTCTTCAAGCGATTAGGACGAAGTTTGCGACCCAAGTCTTCGAGCACTTGGAGAACGGGTGCTGTGATTGACTGGGGCGACCCGACTCGAGGACACGGTAGCCAAGCCCATGTGGCGATCGGATGCAAGAGCAACTCGGAGGTAGTTGAAGGGATCCAGCGTACAGTTCTCGGGCAGGCTGAGGGCAAAGACGGGGCTTCTGAGAAGGTAGACTTTGTGTGGAGTCGATTCCGCGAGCTTGAACTGGCTCGCGGATGGTGGGAGGATGCAAGGACCACGGACTATGAGACTATTCGACAGTCAGCACTGAAGAGGCTGGGATACTCTCCAGAGGGAGGGGTTGGTGTGGAAGTCACTGGGGCGTCGCTCGGCGACGCCGTCTCTCGGACGGTGGACGACATTGTCAAGGTGTTCGATTCCTTGCCACGCTGCACGGCATTCATCGTGTACAGTGGGACGGGGGATCCTCGGGAGATTCACCGGCTGACAGCAATGCGGCAGCAATACCAGCGGGAGTATCAGACGAAGAATTGGGATAATCTGAGCGTCAAATGGACGGATACAGAAGTGCAAGCGCTCTCACGGGCATGCCAGCAGGCACGCGAGGGCGTCGGATTCGTTGTGGTAAAGTGAGAGGATTATTTGTGACCGGCTTGTACTACGGGCCGTGGTACAGTGTGTGCAGGCGCAGCAGGATGCATTGCACGTCAATATAGGCGCGGACATTGGGGGTAATATAGTGGGCTAGGTGGCTAGGTGGCTAGGTGTAAGGCATTATACGGGAGCGGCGCTGGTACGACGGTTGTGTCGCGTGCAGGGCGGGCGTTTGGCGGCTTGGTCGGGGCAGAATGCTCAGCGTTGAGGCAGAAGCGGATTGAAACGTGGACAGAGGAGGACATTAATCAAGAATAGATTCCGGCCTCAGCACGCATCGGCGTCGATGGCAGCGGATGCGGGCATTTCCAGATTGTGAAACTGTTGTCATTGACGTGCGAAATAGCATCCCTGCGGCCAATCCCTTGCGCTGTGTAGATTAATCTAGCGCAGGCCTATTATAGGCCTGGGGG